TTACTGATTCATTGTGCAATAACTTATGACAGATTATGGCTACTAAGACTAAATGTAAAAATGCAAATGACAACATGTGGCGTAATGTTGATCACTAATTAAAATATTTTTTAGTTTAAGACAAAAGTTAAACAGTACAGATAAGCTGCAGTATCATGAGGCTAAATATGCACTTTGAGGGTTTATGAAGCTAGTATTATGGTACACTTACACTATTACTTCCTTAAAAATGTGTTTAATATTCTTAGTTTTGCTGCGTGTCACTGTTTTTGAGAACAATGTATATATATATATATATATATATATATATATATATACACACACACACATACATACATACATACATATATATATATATATAAACATAAACACACACATAAAAGATTAAAATTTTATATAACATTATAACAAATAGAAAAGGATGTTTACGGTTAAGAACATCAATTAATCTCAATCAACAGTGTTTTTGTTTTGATTTTGTTTACTCAAGTGATGTTCCTCCATAAACAAAAGAAAGTTACATAAGAAAGTCTAAAATGCTGATCTCCACCGAGACAACTCAACTCAATGTTGTTTACTACTGCTTTAGGTACTAGGCATCTTTTCTGGACATCGCAGGTGTGTTTGGCCCAAAATGCCGTTTAGGCAGACAGCTCGCTAAGTTTTGAGAAAGCCCAATATGTTTCAAATTAGACGAGGGGGACCGCAGTCTCTTCACCTACCTTTAAAGTTCTTGATAACAAGTTTCTTCGCAGCACCGGGTTTGCTGTTGGAGAAGGTGGCGGATCCCGCAGACTTGGTCAGTCCGTTAGCATGATGCCCGACACCTCCAGGCAGGAACACATTTCTCGCCTTTGAACACGATTCAGCAGAGTTACACGACTCCTCGGCCATCTTCACATCCAGTCCGATCAAATCCAGCGGATCCTCGAACCTCAACTTCTTCTGGATGTGCTGCTGCTGCTGCTGTGAGCTGGAAGAGCTGGACGTTGTGGAGGAGGAATTACAAATGGCTTTAGGAGACGAAGATATTGAATCAATGTCTTCCTTCTCGGAACTGTTAATTTTCCTCTTCTTAGAAGATGTTAAGCTACAGTCGTTGTGAACATCAGAAGCAGCCGGTCTGGGCTCTTGGGCTGGCGGTGGGGGATTAGGGGAAGGTAAACCTGTTGGAAACATGAAAAAATAAATACCAAATCAAATCGCTAATCTACTAATGCTACGATCCCGGGTGTGGACGCTTTATATTCCTCGGTCTCGGTCGGGGGACGTGCAACCTCGCGGCTCCGAGTATAAATAAGGAGAAAAGGAGGATAAATTGAGAAGTGCAGCCCCACTTGGACCCTTCTCTGTTCTTGTTATTGCCAGCAGAGGAAAGATGGTTGAATACTGCTTCCTCTCGCTCGAGCACACTCCGGCTTTGTGTGTGTGTCTGTGTTTGAGCAAAATGTGTATATATATATATATATATATATATATATATATACACACACACACATACATACATACATACATATATATATATATATAAACATAAACACACACATAAAAGATTAAAATTTTATATAACATTATAACAAATAGAAAAGGATGTTTACGGTTAAGAACATCAATTAATCTCAATCAACAGTGTTTTTGTTTTGATTTTGTTTACTCAAGTGATGTTCCTCCATAAACAAAAGAAAGTTACATAAGAAAGTCTAAAATGCTGATCTCCACCGAGACAACTCAACTCAATGTTGTTTACTACTGCTTTAGGTACTAGGCATCTTTTCTGGACATCGCAGGTGTGTTTGGCCCAAAATGCCGTTTAGGCAGACAGCTCGCTAAGTTTTGAGAAAGCCCAATATGTTTCAAATTAGACGAGGGGGACCGCAGTCTCTTCACCTACCTTTAAAGTTCTTGATAACAAGTTTCTTCGCAGCACCGGGTTTGCTGTTGGAGAAGGTGGCGGATCCCGCAGACTTGGTCAGTCCGTTAGCATGATGCCCGACACCTCCAGGCAGGAACACATTTCTCGCCTTTGAACACGATTCAGCAGAGTTACACGACTCCTCGGCCATCTTCACATCCAGTCCGATCAAATCCAGCGGATCCTCGAACCTCAACTTCTTCTGGATGTGCTGCTGCTGCTGCTGTGAGCTGGAAGAGCTGGACGTTGTGGAGGAGGAATTACAAATGGCTTTAGGAGACGAAGATATTGAATCAATGTCTTCCTTCTCGGAACTGTTAATTTTCCTCTTCTTAGAAGATGTTAAGCTACAGTCGTTGTGAACATCAGAAGCAGCCGGTCTGGGCTCTTGGGCTGGCGGTGGGGGATTAGGGGAAGGTAAACCTGTTGGAAACATGAAAAAATAAATACCAAATCAAATCGCTAATCTACTAATGCTACGATCCCGGGTGTGGACGCTTTATATTCCTCGGTCTCGGTCGGGGGACGTGCAACCTCGCGGCTCCGAGTATAAATAAGGAGAAAAGGAGGATAAATTGAGAAGTGCAGCCCCACTTGGACCCTTCTCTGTTCTTGTTATTGCCAGCAGAGGAAAGATGGTTGAATACTGCTTCCTCTCGCTCGAGCACACTCCGGCACGCTGCACAAAGTCCGTTGGATTACAAACTG